ATCCAGCCAGTTGGGACTGAGCAAGACGAGCCAGACACACCCTGGAGCCCTCCTGCAGTCCCTCCCTGGTCTCAATCATGCTGGCCTGCACCCTCTCGCAATTTGGGGGAGGGGGGGGGGGGAATGTCTACCGTGTGTGTAATTGCTTCTTGTTCTACACAACTCAGTTTATAAAGAACAGCATATGTTATTATGAAGGGATTTTTCAAATCTCAGTTTGGTCTCTACAGTAAGGAAATCCACAATGAGAGTCTGTTTTACTGTTATTATTCCATTGGGGGTTTTTCTACTATAATATTATGACACTTCTCAATTTCGATTTTTTACAGTTGGAACAGAAATAAATTAGAATTTTGTTTGTTTAGAAAACCTTAGCTAATTCAATTTTTCTCTAGGTTTAGCAAACTCAGCAAATAATATATGTTGACTCTTAGTCTAAAGCCATGTGAACTTCAAGGGATATTAAATCTGTTTCTGATTTAGTTATACATTACTCATTGAAATATTATTTGGTAGAAAATGCTTGATGTCCAGAAACCTTATGAACCATTTTATCACCTTTTTTATTTGATCCAGGAAGTTGATTTTCATGGGTAGTAAATAAAGTTTATATCTGGAAAGATGAAACCATGAAGTTTATCAATATGGTTATTATAGTTTATATGACCAAGCTTTCCAAGCAGATTTGATATGGCTGACAGTGAAAGCATTTCAACAGGGCAGTTAAAGTAAAGGTAATGATTGAGGTAAAAATAAAAGATATAAAGAAAAGAACAACATAATTGTATGGGGAGAATTGTGAAATACATTAGATTTGTTCCGAGCTTCCTGACCACCAATGCAGAAGGCACACCCAGAGGTTTTACTTGGAAGCACTCTTACACTTTGCTCTAACTTCATCTTGGTAGTCACACATTACATTATGAGAGGAAAAGCTAAGCAAAGAAACCAACAGAACAGGAACAAAATTATTTATCAATAGTTACTGAAATAGATGAAACATTGAACCTTCTTGCAAATACCACTAACAAAAATAGCTTTATCCTTGTCTTTTCAAAATCATGGGTTAACTCAGCCAAACCCGTTGGTCTTTGGTTTGCACATACTTGTGACAATCTCCCCTTAGGAGAAAGAATGGACCTAGGAAGATACCACAGGTCCTAGAAGAGGGAGTAGGGGTCATTTGGACAGGGAATTCTGGGGTCCAGGGTATCCAAAGTGTGGGCAAGGAACAGGAACACGAGCTCTGGGAGTGGCATGCTCTGTTTCTGGGAAGCTTCCTTGGCTCTGGCGGTGTGCGGCTGGAGGAGAATGAGTGGAGACTTCTCAAGTGTGGGGTCAGGGACAGGGGCCAAAGTATCCCTGGCCCGTATTAATTCTGCTTCTCAGTTCTGCATGGCCATGGGGGAAGCAAGGTGGCTCTGGCCAGCCTCGGTGTAGGTACTGGCCCCTGAAGGCCAAGGCAGGAAGAGCTGATTATTTTCCTACCAAATGTTAATTTATCTAGATAGGAAGTTTCTGGAAAGATTCTCAGGAGGTGGCTGGGACCCCATCACTCTTTCTTTTGCACTGATTTTCCTCATAAAATTGTAAAATTGAGATCATGGCCCGAATTATTCTACCATTTAACTCTTCCTTAACTGCAGTTGTATTGACAGTTCAAGGGAGTGTAACTCTTTAGTTTGGATTCCAAATACTTGCTGTCTAATCTCTGTTCCTTTGGGATATAGACATGGTTTTCGGAACAAATCTATAGATTCATGGTTTTCTCTAGGCTTAGAATTTAAAGGAACATATTTTTATCCATTCTATTAAGTTCCAAGTTATATTTTATAATATAAAAAAGATATGTAAATATAACTAGAGAAAGATATATTGAGTTCTTTTTGATACAGCGTTTCTTGAGAAACTATTACCATGATGTTTAAAAATAAAAGTTTACTTCTCCAACTTAATATTTTTTTTTCATAGTTGAGAATAAACTAAGTTCCTATGATATAAGTTTCAAATACACATTGAGGCAAAAATAATGTTTTGGGGGTATTTTTGGTCAGGAAGTAACTTGAAGATAGTTAAAAAATTTTAAAAATATTTGCTTATGCAGTGAAGGCTTTTCAAAAGTTATTTTTAAAGACTGAGGAATTAAGCACCTGTCATTTTCGCCAGCTGGTGTAGATGTTAAAAATTACTGTCACTCTTCTACCCGCTACTCTGTTTTGCACCTGCTGCTACTTGAGTTATGGGCACTTCACACAGGGTAATTTAATAAGGTTAGGTCCCATGACAGTGTACTAGATGTTATCCCACAGGAGCTAAAGCAGTTTTATAAGGTCTTGTGGGAAAAAATATTAAATATGATGCTTGAGACAAAAACTTTGTCACATTTTTCTAAGTGAAAGATGTTAAAGGAGTATAAAAGATAGGAAATTTAACTACATATTGAAAAAAAATTAGTCTTTTATGATTGGACTCTGTACCAGTCAACTTCTCTATGTGGTGACATTTATAAGTAAAAATAAAAACATTTTTATGCCTTCTGTATTGAAACCTGCATTGTTCAATATGGTTGTCATGAGCCACATGTGTCTATTTAAATTAATAAAAATGAGATACAATTAAACATTCAATTCCACAGCCACACTAGCCACAGTTCAAGTGCTCAGTAGCCACGTGTGGCTAGTGGTTACCCAAGAACTTTGCAGATACAGATTTACATTTTTACTGCAAGTTCTGCTGGACAGTGCTGTGTGAAATTTCCAGTTCCTGGTCTTAGGCCAACTCCTTGAGGCTGTTGTGAATTTTCCTTATGACTGATTGTAATGTCCCAACATCATCTTGGCTACAGAAGCCAAAGTCAGAGTTGAAGCTGCTGTCCACTGGAATCTGAGAGACTTTGCTAAAGTTAGGAGCAGCATGTGGACATGAAGCGCCAAACATCAGGAAAAAGTTGTGTCAGCTTCCAAATATGTGTTAGGCAGGCAGAGATTTTATAATCCCATATGTTTCTGATATCTTTTGAGAGAGTGGGAGAACTATTTATCACTGCATCTCTTCTAAATGAACAACTATTAACTTGCAAATTCTGCCTTTGTTCTGAAGAAAAGTGACATGTGATAAGCATTATGATATGATAAAGTAACTTTACACTTTGAATTTTTCTATGAATTATTTGACCATTTAAGACATGTATTAAAGATTGAACCAAGCTTTGGGGACACAGGCATGTGAAATAGAGGGGAGCATAGCAGGAGACATAATATTAGTAGATACGTTCTTGAATAACAATCTCGTCCCAGAGAGGTTTTTCCAGTGACAGCTGAAAGGTCACCTTAAATATTATCCTTGAAGATATTCAGTGAGAAGGATTAGGGCTTATTAGAATTTTCTAATAGGCCAGATTATCACTAGAAGTGAAATAGTTCAAACCATTAACACAATGATTTACATGCAACCGAGAAAGCCTGCTTTCATCTTGATTTGCCTGGGTAGTTTATATTAAAACATCTTTGATCCCCTGAATTTCTTCAGTTCTCCATTTTTAATATATATATCATATTTTTATTATTATTATTTTTTTATTGATTTCAGAGAGGAAGGGAGAGGTAGAGAGAGAACTATCAATGATGAGAATCATTGATCGGCTGCCTCCTGCACGCCCCCTACTGGGGATCGAGCCCACAACCAGGGCATGTGCCCTTGGACAGAATTAAATCCAGGACTCTTGAGTCCACAAGCCAGCCCTCTATTCACTGAGCTAAACCAGCTAGGATTTCATTTCACTTTTTCAATAATATGTGATTATCACTACTATTCATTCTGTTATTTTCTATATAGACTATACTGATTTGTTCTTTTAATTCATCAATATTCTATGCATTAACAACAGAATTGAGGTTTTAAAAATTATTTTATCTAAGAAGATAAAAGCACAAAGCAAGTTGAATATTCCAGACTGAACAAAATTATTTATTGCTCTTTTAATTTAAGGATGATGATGAACCCAAGGTAGAAAATAAAGAGTGGTGCTTGGGTTTGAGATTGTCAGTATTTTATCCTTGTCTAGAGCAGGAGACACTTGGTTCGTGTTACATAAATGCAATTCAGAGAGAAGTGTGGATATAAAAAAATCCAGGAAGTCCTCAGTCTAGAATGGTCTACATTGTTTTGTTTTTCTGATGATGGTAAACAAATCTGGACATGGTGTTATGAATAAGTTTCCAGCCAGTCTTCCTAAACAATGCTTGATCTGTAAAAAAAAAAAAAAAAAAAAAAAAAAAAAAGGAGAAATGAGTTAGATTATTATTTATTTATTTATTTATTTTAATATTTTAATGATTTTTTACAGAGAGGAAGGGAGAGAGATAGAGAGCTAGAAACATCAATGAGAAAGAAACATCCATCAGCTGCCTCTTACACACCCCCTACCGGGGATGTGCCTGCAACCAATGTACATGCCTTTGACCGGAATCGAACCTGGGACCCTTCAGTCCTCAGACCGACACTCTTTCCACTAAGTCAAACCAGTTTTGGCTAGATTTTTATTTTAATGTGAAGTGCAAAGAAGAAAAAGCACAAACGAGCCAACATTTCCTTGTTGTAAGAACCTGATTGCAAGTGCTTAACTTTGACTGCGATAGCATGGTTTTCTCGAGTGGTAATTTAAAAAAACTGCATGTTATTCAGCAAACTTAGCCCATACTTTTATTAGTGTCATGTTCCAACTAAATTAATTAACTACTCTTCATTGTATACTCATAAGTACAAAGATAGGATTTAGCTATTAAACTTCTGAAATTTTTGCTTATAAACTTATATAAAATGATCTATTCCTATATAACCTCTTTCAGGAAGTTGAAGTTTTCTGGTTCATATAAATAACTTTTAAGAATAATACTAGTTATATGGACAGACTATAAAGTGAAGCAGTTAAGGAAAATAAAAAAAAATCAAGAAAGTCTTAATAGTAAAGAGGAAATATATATCTACCTTGAGAGCTCCATTTAGATAGACATGATATGCTTGACAAAAGCTGTAGGCACAATACAGACAGTTTAGAGTTAGGAAACAGTCAAATTTAATAAAAAAGAGGTTTTAAAAGTTACTTCAATCCTAATTAATCTTAGGTATAACACTGAAGCTTATTTTTTTGTGCTCTGTACAGCCTGCTATACATATTACTGGATTTATGACCTTTCCCCTGATTTTATAAATTTAATTTTTGAGTAAGGGGCACATTCACATGGTTAAGTATTTCTTCTTTAAAGTATAGAAGAGTTTATAACAACAACAACAACAACAAAAAGTTTCTCACCACCGTCTCCCAGATATTTAGTTTCTCCTTTATAGCTAAGTTCATAGAGCTATTAAATGCATAGAAGAGAATACAAATATATGCTTCTTTTTAAAATATACATTTTTATTGATTCCAGAGAGGAAGAGAGAGGGAGGCAGAGATAGAAACATCAGTGATGAGAGAGAATCATTATGGGCTGCCTCCTGCACGCTCCAATGTGGACCGAATCTGAAACTAGGCATTTGCCCTTGACTGACATCAAACCTGGGACTTTTCAGTCCATAGGCCAATGCTCTATTCACTGAGCCAAAACAGGAAGGGCCAAATATATGTTTATAATTTTTTTTTTTACAGGAATGATGGCATACTCTGCAAATTCTTTTGCACTTATTTTTCTCACTTAGTAATATATCCAGCATATTGGAGACATTACAATAAACGTAAATAAGAATGTCGTTATTTTTTAGGGCTATAGGATATTTCATTGTATAGATGTACCAGAATCTATTTTATCCATCCTACATTAATGAACATTAAATTGTTCAAATATCCTATCTAATAAAGAGGAAACGTGCAAATTGATCATCACTGCAATGCACAAGATGGCCACCCCTATGTGGTCAAAGATGGCTGCCCCCATGTGGACACAAGATGGCCACCACAAGATGGCTGGCAGGGGATTTGTGGGTGATCAGGCCAGCAGAGGAGGGCAGTTGAGGGTGACCAGGCTGCAGGGGAGGGCAGTTAGGAGCAATTGGGTCAGCAGGGGAGGGCAGTTAGGGGTGACCAGGCTGGCAAGGGATGGCAGTTAAGGGTGACCAGGCCATCAGGGGAGGGCAGTTAGAGGTAACCAGGGCAGCAGGGAAGGGCAGTTAGGTGCAATTGGGCCAGTAGGGGAGCAGTTAGGCATCGATCAGGCTGAAAGGGGAGTGGTTAGGGGGTGATCAGACTGGCAGGCAGAAGTAGTTAGGGGCAATCAGGCAGCCAGGCAGGTGAGTGGTTGGGAGCCAGCAGTCTTAGATTGTGAGAGGGATGTCCGATTGGAGAGGGTGCAGGCTGGGGTGAGGGACAACTTCCCTACCACACCCTCCTGCACAAATTTTGTGCATCAGGTCTCTAGTATACAAATAACTATGTATCATACATTGCCCTTGACTGCAAGAATGTCCACATTCCTGGAAGTAGATTGTTAGAACTGCTGGTACCCCCTCACCACACAAGGATTTAACTGATTTACATTCCCAGCAGGAATGCATGAGATCAGCTTTTCCACACATTCTTCTCACCCCAAAGTTTGGTCAAACTTTTAATCTTCAGAAATCAGCTTATTTAAAAATGGTATTCCAGTGTAGTATCCATCTGCATGTCTCATGTTATTAATGAAGTTTAGCATATTATACTGTATTTGTATATATACTTCCCTTTTCTATGAAGTGTCTGTTCATGTATCTATTAATTTTTTTTATTAGGTTGTGGTCCCTTTATAAATTTATAACTTTTTATTAGGAAAATAAGTTCTTAGCAATACTAATATATATATATATATATTGTCTGCTGTTTGTCTTTTAACTGCTTCTGGTGGCTTTTCCATATAAATTAAAAAACATTATGTGGTTGAATTTGTCAAAATTTGAAGTGCCTTCTGGGTTTTATATAAGTGCTAGATGCCTCTTGCAGGAAGATTCCTGCAATAGGGCTTCCTACTGCAGTAACTACCAGAGCACATGAGATTGTACCTTCATAGTTGATGCATCCATTGGAGTCTTCTTGACCTTGCAACAGCGTTTCCACTTCTTCCTCTCTCATCTTTTCACCTGATGAAGCAAAACTCTTTGTTCAGAAAGGAGGTCAGAGAATATTTTCAAAATTCCCACCATAAGTGATTATTTTGGAACTCCTGGAACTATGACTAAGCTCTTGGAGGATAGGAACCAAGCCCTTCCTATTCCTCTCCCACTTAGTAGGTTGTCAATAAAAGTTTCTGAGTGAATGAATTAAGTTCACATTGTACACAAATATCCAAACTCTATCCTATGAGAACTACAGTGTTTTACTACTCATTACCAGTAATTTAAGTTACCATTTTCCCCAAATTCACTCATTGACACTGTAGTCAATTGAAATGGTTGTTAACTTTTGACTTCTCTCTTACATTTTCCCTCTGTATCTACCTTGGTTTTTTAACATGATCCCCCCAAGTCATACTCCTTCTTATATAGTCTGTTCTGCTAATTCCACTAAAACAAATCTCCTTACCCAGTGTGGCTAGAACGTGACGGAGTTCAGCACCCATGACTGTGCCATTGCCTTCCTTGTCAAAGACACGCAGACCTTCAACAAAGTCTTCATAAGTGCCCTGCTCCTTGTTGTTAGAAATAGCTTGCATCATGGGAAGAAACTGTTCAAACTCAATTTTCTTGACATTCATCTCTGGAAGAAATTGCAGTTTGGGGAGTTGTTAGCAAACATAAAATGCCATCTCTGAGTTTCCAATTGAACTTGAAAGTTTATTCTAGATGACCTGAAAAATCTTCATACAGTGTAAATTTCAATTGATAAGTTGTTGGTGAGAAAAATTTGGTAATAGTTATCGATAGTAGCCTGAACTCTGGAGTCCTAGTCCTTGAACTTTTCTCTCCAATCCACTGTTTACAACTATGTGATTACGGGCAAGTTGATTAACCAATTTGTGTCTCAGCATCTTCATCTCTTAAAATAGAGATATTGCATAGTGTTAGTATGAGAATTAAATAAGATGACACAAGCCAAGTTTGTTACAGTACCTGGGACAACTGAGTACTTAATGTTAGCTGCTATTTTTCTAGTACTGTCAATTTAATATTTTTAAAATATATTTTTATTGATTTTAGAGAGGAAGGGAGAGGAAGAGAGATAAAACATCGATGAGAGAGAATCACTGATCGGCTACCTCCTATAGGCCCTCCTCACCCCACTGGGGACCGAGCCTACAACCCAAGCATATGCTTTGACCAGGAATCGAATTGAGACTTCCTGGTTTGTAGGTCAATGCTCAACCACTGACCCACACTGGCCAGATTTAACTTAATATTTTTGTGTGATTTACCTGGATATTTTCCTCCAAAGAAAATGAACCCTGATGAATATTCTAGCAGACTGATTTAGAGTTAGGTTTTCTTGAAGTAAGCGTTGGTTTGTTTTTTTCTTTTGCGACACAAGAAAATTATCATTTTAATTATCAAAGAAAAAAAGAAATTAGTTGTTTTCTTTTCTTTCTTTTTTTTTCCTATGGCAAAGATAAACAGCCCACAAGTCTACTTGAAAAGATGTCAATTTGGTCTTGTTGTTGTTCGTGTGTTTGTTTCCCAATAGACTATAATATTTTGCCACGAACCTTTGGGATTCATTTTTATTTCTTGTTCTAGACTGAAGCCTGGATTTCTGTCTTGAGCAAATAAGTTCTGCAATTTTGCTTCTCATGTAGGTCATTGACTTTGGTCCCGTGATTTAACTTGGGCAACTGAATGCAGGTCTGGCTTAGATTTTCAGGTCTTTTTGTAAAAAAAAAAAAAAAAAATTACTCTTATTAAGATTTCATTTCTCTGGCTTTTATCAGAGAAGATATCCTCTCGGGATGTGCTATTATAATTTACTTAGAGTTATTTGCAAAGTGCATTATGTTTTAGTCATATTTAACATCTTTGTCAAAATGTAATTTTTCCTTTGAAGATTTGAAAAAATGTGTAGACTTGGGTTTTATTTCATTTCATTAACCTTTAAATTATGAGCATTAAGATAAGATGATGATAATGATGTTAGCATTAAATATTATTTCCTTGCATTAGCATGAAATTTTATCAAGCTTGCAAATTCTCAAAGGAAGGTTAACTTACTTTATGAGGGAAAAAACTGACTCTAGCCAAGTGGCACACTTACCATCAAAAGCCAATTAAGTCCTATTCTGTGAAACTTATTTCTTAATAAATCTCTCTTACTCTGAAACACACACACACACACACACACACACACACACACTCATACACACCGCACACACTCATACACACACACACACACATACACACACACACACACTCATACACACACACACACATACACACACACACACACACACATTTCTCAACTTATTGGGGAAACATGGGGTTTACCTTCATTGGTGGGATTTCCCAGGACCTTCTTGACCTCTGCATTGGTGGGGTTTGTGCCCAGAGCCCGGAGGACATCACCAACCTGGCTTAAAGTGATTTTGCTATCACCTGTCCTGTCAAACAGGAGAAACGCCTCCTTGAAATCTGTAAGAAACAAGAAGCATTAGCGGGCTTTTTTTTTTTTCTTTTTCTTTTCTACCTCAGACCTATAAGTTAACCCTAATTTCATCAAAGATCCAGTTCAAACTACTTTACAAGTATTTCCAACCACTGACATTGTGATTGCTAGATTCTCCCTTTTCCTAGTTCAGATAATCACGGACAAGCCCTATTTTAAAGCAGCATTTCCAATTTCAAGTCATATGTTTTTATTCATCAGATATGAAAATTGGATCCTCTAGTCATATTTGTTCATATTTTCTTCATCTGTGTGGGAAGCAGGAATGGGTTAGGGAATTCTGAGTCTTTAAGAATTCCTTATATAACCTCTCATATAATTAACATTAATAACATTTCAAGAAAAACAAATTTTCATATGGGGTTGTGTTTATGAGGTCAACACAAACTTCTCAAATTACATGGAAAAAACCTCCTCTTGAGTTACAAATTTCCTACATACTCCCCTTAACTAGTTTTCTTCAGGAGTAACTTCATTTTTTTCAGGAAAAAAAATCTAGAAAGGTGAGACAAATCTCAAAATTCTATAAGTGATCATTTAACCATGTCAATGTGTGATGGTAATAGGCTCCTAGTATAAATTATTCAGAAGGAGGAATATGTGTTTGGCTCTGTTGCTATGATAATCTATTCTTTTTAGGTCATACATATGACAATATGTTGTTATGTTAGCTTTAAGTACATGTTTCCTAAGGAAAATTTTATGGCGATAATGGCAAATTCAAATGCACGTTAGAGAAAAAGTACAGATGTCATAAATACTCTGCCTAGTTTCCCCCAATTGTAACATTTTGCAAAATCATTGTATACTATTGAAATCAGGGTGTGTGAATAAGTACATATTCTTAAAGTGAATTTTTTAAAGCATGGCCACTATATTCCTTGTTTCCTAAGTTTTGTCATTCTCCTTTAATAAGGTGGTTTTGCCTTTCAGAATTACATTAAAAAAGAATTAAGGCATGTACACCAAAAAGACAGAAAGAGGTACTACTCTGAATTAGGGGCCAGTAAAGACATTTTAATAGAACCTTCTAAATTTAACTAAGTGAATTCCCCGGGGAACCCAAAAGTATTCATGGCAACTTGTTGGAGTTAATACTAACAACAATCAAAAACCGTTTGTGAGTGAAAGAGGCGAAAGCGGTCTTCTTTTAGGCCTTTAGTTGTTCGGCATCAAAAGATACCTTCTTCTGGATAGATTACTCAGCAAAATACCCTATTTTACTGTTCCTCCACCCACTAATCTAAGATTGGACCAGGCATTTTCACTGTCAACTACTGTGATCATGTTTCCCTTCTTTGCTAAAACTTTCACCTTATATTCTCTGCAATTTGACTATAAAAGATCATTTTCTTAATCTGAAAACATGCCCCAGGCTCTGTGGAGTCATTAAGTCAAATATTGTTTCATCTTTCTAAGGGACACACGAAACTGAACTATTCTTGTTACTGGCTCCAGGCTTTCATGCACAAATTGCTCAGCAGGCTCACTATTACCCTGGTCAGATACTTGATATAGAAATAGGAATTTTATGGACTGTAATAGAATCTTCCTGACATTAAACCTTCTGTTGATTTAAAGGCCAGAAAGATATTGTTCTTCCTGCCTCAGAATTCTAAGGCTTACTTTTTTCTCTTGAAGAGTCTAGGACATGGGTTAGCAAACTCCTGCCTAGGGGCTGGCCACCTGTTTTTGTAAACAAAGTTGGAATACAGCTATTTGTGTAGGTATTGTCTATGGCTGTTTTCATCAGCAACAGATCTGATTTATTTTTACAGAAACTGCATTTGCCAATGAGGCTTAACATATTCATTCTTTCATCCTTTCAGAAAAAATATTTGCCAGCCCCTTGTGTAGAGCTATAATGCTCTAGAACTTTCTGTGATGATTGAAATGTCCTATATCTAGGTTGCCTCAAAATGTAGCTATTAGTTACCCGCAATTCTTGAGCACTAGAAAGCAACTACTACAACTGTGGAAATGGATTTCAAAATGTATTTATTTTTAACTATTTACATTTTGAATTTAAATATCCACATGTGGCCAGTGACAACTCTACTGGACAGCATAGGAGGACTTAGACCTTTAGGATGCTGTGATTTTCTATTTGTTATTTCTTCTTTCCTCCAAACCTATGAAACATTCAAATAGAGTAGCCTTGAGCAAAACTATTTAATCATTAAACAAGGGATAATCAAAGGAAGTCTTCATTCTTTTTTGAACAAATAGGATTTCCATTTCATTTAAAAATGCTAGTAAGAAACATTTGTTTTCCTGACATAGAGAAAAAACAGTCCACCACACCAATATTTACCAAACTCTGTCTCTAAAATCTATTTCATATATGAAATGATAATTTTCATAGTAATAGTTTAATAGTTTAAATTTCCCTTCTGTCCCGGAAAGGGTTTTAAAGTTTTCTATTGTTTGGTCCTACCATAGTTTGGCTTTCAAAATGACCCTGTAATGTAGACATTTAAGAGGACTGGGATGAAGTTAGCTGAAAATGTTGCAGTATTACTAGTTAAAAATGAATCAGAAAATCAAACAAATTACAGTAGAAGTGCCAACTATTTTAAATAAAAAAAAACAGTCCTTTGTAGTATAATTTTATAGGATATTGAGTTCTGAGTCATGAAGTTATCCAATTGTTTTACACAAGGCCATTAACCATGATGTGGATACGCGTGTCTGTACTACTGGTACTACAGCAAATATCCTCTTCTTCCTTCACTGATGTTTGAACATGAGATAGTCCAGACACTAAAACACAGGAAACTGTGGAATTCTTTAGAACTGAGTCTTTGAATAGATCCTTATTAATCACCTTTATAATTACATATTATATACCATAACATGTCTAATATAGAGACTTATTATGACCAATATTATAAGTTATATATCATACACCGAATTTTTTCTTCCCTTCTCTTCTATAGGTGTATTTCTACCTCACTTTCTTTGAATATGGGACAATCACTCCATAAAACATGCCTCAGTACACTTCTAGTAAAAAAATAAGATCTTATAGGGTACAGGATTCTTGGATTCTAAGACTGAAAGGAGAAAAAAAAATGGGAGTGTTAGGGAAAGTATTCGGATTCTCTTGAATCGTAAGAGTTTAATTTTTTTAGTAACTGTTTTTATGAAAGATATTCTAATGAATTTAAACTAATACCATATTTTGATTCTGTCATTCATTCTTAGGTTACTTGAGCGAGTCCCATACCCTCCCCGGGAACCTGTCTTACTGTTTCCCCACCACAGTTTATGACAAATACTCTTCCCTCTTTGTCTGTGAATTTACTTTTATCCTTTATCTACTTGACCCATTATTTCTCTCAATGCATCATAGTGCCCATTGAGATTATGGAGATTTGGTAATTGGCAGTTTTATAATAATTATTTTATTTTCCAAATTGAGCAATTCAGACTTGCAAAATCTTTCTTTAAGTATTTGATTAACAAATTAGCCATCCAAAATTGACATATTTTGGGGGTACATCTATATATCGATATTTAGAAATCAGGGCCTATTTTGTAGTGTTTATCTATTGTTTGCTTAAACCTCTGATCGCTAATTCTAAGGAGGGGCTGCTTGGGGTGCTGAGAGGAGTTGGAGTGAGTGAGAACATTTATATTTAGAGTGGAGCACCAGCAGGGGGCCATTAGGGAAGAGCTAATCTCATCCAGAGGGAGCTGGCTTTCCAAATCCATCTTTCTGAGTGTGCGCACGTTAACAGCAATATCTTTTACACTTACCATCCTGCTGTTCCTGAGAGAACTCGATCTGTTAGGAAGAAATTAACCACAAAGAATATTTTAACCAACCAACATGTCCTGACTTTCCAGTGTATCCAAGCTCATTCCCTGAGTCATCTTTCAAGTAAGCTCCCAAAGTCAGCTTACTTTCTAGAGTTCAGGCATAGCTTGGACACTCACAGGTTGAGCCGGGTAGTCTCATGCCTTAGAGATAAGTGATATTTCCGAAAGTAGGCAGGGTTCTGCCTACATCTGAAGTAGAAAAGCTCAATTCACTTACCAGCAATCTGGTCAGCACTGAAGGACTGCGGTGGCGAGAGGGAGAAAGAATAAAACAGCTAGTACTCTTTCAAATGCATTGACAGAATCGAGTGCTGTCTGTCCTGAGATTTTTTTTAGAAAGCCATCTAGGTTTCATAGAATAAGAAGGTTGCCTTAGGATATGTTGGAGTCTAGGATAAAGAAAAAGCTATTGCAAAAGATAGTTAGGGAACATCTCTCTTCAACGAATCAGTGTTTTAACAGAGGCCCAGTCAAATACTTCCTAGGATAAGATAATAACCTAAAGTGTATTGAAGACATGTCTAATACAGGTACACTGTTTTAGGAAGTACAGATGCACTGCCTTGAATCGTTACAAGCCTTCCTCTGTTTAACCACCACATTTTTACTTAATGCATCAGAAGTAGATTACTCGGCTTTAGAAATTGACATCATTCGGTTGTTTTTTAAGGTGTAATATTTTCCTATAGTTGCAGAGTTATTTTTCTTTCTAAATTTAGATATAATACACCTTAGTTGATATACAAACATTGATGAATCATAAACTACTACTTTTGGGGACTAAGTCTTATTTTTCCAGCTGGCATAATAGCTCAAATGACCTCTTCTATCCTCACGCCCTCCCCTCACCCAAAACCCAAAGCAGATTCTAAAAAGTCTCCTATTGAATAAGCTATCTCCCCAATTCTGTTTTACATCTGCCTTTTTTCCTCGGTAAGACTGTAGCCCCTATCTCTTTCCTCCTGCAAATGCCAACTACTTTTCTGGTAGGACCCACCATGCTGGAGCTGCTGGGCTGCACAATAGCGGCGGAGATGGGAGATGAGGAGTCTCTGAGGGCGGCTGCAGTCCCTAGTGGGGCCGCCCTGGCGGAGGCTGCCTTTTATTGCTGGGAGGCGGTGACCTCAGAGTTCTATTCGGGTCTCAGGGAGAGAGAGGCAGCCACTCCCTTTGGAGAGTTCTGTAGCTTTCTCAAGGCAAAGAGGGAAAGGGATCTGAACCCTGAGGGCTATTTTTAGGAGCCCAGAGACCATAGTAGGCAGCCATAGTGAGCCCGAGGCCCTTCTGTACTTTTATGGTCTTTTTCTCTGAGATGCTCTCTGGAGAGTCTTCCTTTAAGAAGCTGATTTGCTCAGTGGCGGAGGAGGCTCAGGTTTCTCTAGGGGCCTGGGCTGACCCTGCTCTCAGTGAATCTTAGACTTTGCAGACTCCAAGTGGGCAAGTCTTGGTATTAATGGAACGTATTGGATAGGACTGGTTTGGGGTTTCAGTTGGCAGCCCCTCGTGGAAAAGGTCAGAGGACTTGGAAGGCATCACACATTCTGAGGGTTTCTGAGGGTTCACCCAATGGTGATCTGGCCAATTCTTGAAAATCTGTAATTAATTTTTTTGCAGCCTGTATTCTCAGGAGTATAAAGCTTATCTAAACCAGGAATGGTTTTGATCACTGTTTTTCACCATTCTCCTTTAATACCCTTAGGATTGGGTATTTTCCTCCCTCCCTGTTATCTTTATGGTGGCTTACCAGTCAATTTTTTTTTTTTTTAAATTTCTGAAGTTTTTCTATGTAGGAAAGCTGTTAGACACACTCTCACTCTCTCTCTCTCTCTCTTTCTCTCTCTCTCTCTCTCTCTCTCTCTCTCTCTCTCTCTCTCTCTCTCTCTCTCGACTTTTTTCCTGGTTCTTTTTAAAACAAAACAAAATGAAACATAAGTCATTCAGAAAAAGCTAAGAAATATATGATTTTACTTATATGTGGGATATAAGACTAAAACTCTGAACACAAACAGCAGAGTGGTGGCTGCCAGGGGAAGGGGACGGGGGAAGAAGAGGACTCTAAGATGAGGTGACAGGAGGAGATTTGACTGAGGGTGGTGGGCACGTGGCGCAGTACACAGATCTTGTAACATAGAAACCCACATCTGACACCTGTATGTTCATGTCGACCATTGCCACCCCAATTAATGTAATAAAAATAAAAGAAGACATTAACTTTATGGTGGTGACATTGAAAAATAACATTATATGAGTTCAAGTGTACAATTCCATAGTACACCATCTGTATATTGCATTGTGTGCTCACCACCCAAAGTCTAGTCTCCTTCAGTCACCATATATTTATAAATCCCCTTCGTCTCCTCCAACCTCCCCACTCCCCCCTTTTCTCTAATAATCACCGTTATCTGTTGATAGACTGTTTTTGCATTCTTTTTCTCTCCTTCTATTTGAGATTTTAAAATTTTATGTAAGTTTCTATTAGAACATGCTGATTCTGTTTCTGTTATGTCAAACATTTGATGGTTCAGTCTATAGATTGAGAAACAAAAGAACCCAGACAGAAGGCTGTGGGAGGCCAAGCTGTAGGTTAGAATTTGAAAGGTATCCCAGGGAGCGGCTGGCAATGGGTTCTCCTGGTAGCTTCTCTGAACAGAGAGGGCACTCTCTTCCACGAATGGTACTGTGCACCATGGTACAAGGAAAGATCGGTCTTAATATGTCCACTAATGTTCACACATGTCTACCAGTTTTCTACTTATTTAAAGCACCTCACAGGCATAAGAATGTTGGAAATTCTAATGTCAGTACTGTTTCCATATGACTTTTAAAGAAATGGTCACAGAGAGCATAAAGTCTCCCCCTGCTAGACAAATGTGTATTTGCAGCTTTCCCTTAAGTATTTAGAAAGAAATCAGCACTTAAAATGTGTATTATTTTTTGTTCAAAGACTACCAATAGTGAAAAAAAAATCTCAGAGGGCCTTAAGTTCCAAAATGGGACTGAAAATATAGCTTAAACAATATTAGTATCCAGGTAAAGTATCTTCATAAGTAGATTGACACTTTGAGAGAGTTAATAAAAATATTTAAACACTTTGAATCATTAGGGGAAAATAGAAGGGAGGGACAATTGATAATTGTATAAGTTGAAGTTTCATGATTTTGATGCAAAAATTAAAAGCTTTAGAGAAAAATCGTGTTTCTTTGTGTTTTTTTTAGTCTTGTAATTATAGCATTATGTTATTAAATTTGAATTGCTTATGAGTAATATTGAGAGCTAGCATATATTTTTAGTAGAGCTGATAAATATAAATAATACAAATAAACTCATCAAAATTGCCCTACATAATGATCATTTTCTTTGTTTCTTTTTTTTATTATTATTATTTTTAGTAGAGATGTATATCTTTGAGTACATATGTAATATGGTCAATTTGTATAAAATCTGTTGAATATACTGGGAAGTCATTTTAAAAGTTATGTTTATGTTATGAAAAAACTATTTCTTACCACTTGGATATCATGTATAGGTTTAATATTATTACAATAAAGAGGTTGCCAAACTATTTAACTCTATTTTTTCTCTGAACTCTATCCCATAGAGAATGAGAGTTTAGGGATTTTTTTTTTAATCTATTGAGAATCAGACTAAACATGTAAGCAAGTTATTGACCCCTGTGGAGAGACTTCATTAGAGTCTAGTCCAGGGAATAAACTACAGTTTCCAAGTTAGAAAACCCAGGCACTGTGATCACAGAATAAACGGGGATGCTACTTATTCTCTGGCACATTTTTACAAATGCAAAAACTCTCTCTGGCCTGTCTTCTGGTGTTATCATGGTGAAGTAACCAGCATCCCCACCCCCACACTTTTTTTTTAATAGCCAGTCCTTTGAACATGACTTTGACAAATACAAAATGGCAGCTGATTTTGAGCTCAGTTTGCTACATCATCATTTGGCTTATTTTAAAATTAGATTTAAGTCTCTTTTCTCGTATCAGTTTCTTAGAAATTAACTATTCTTCAAAGTCCTGATAAAAGATCCTCCTCTTGAAAAAGAATCTTTTCTCTCTCCTTACCTACCTTCCTCCTTCTACTCAAAGTTGACCTTTAACCTTCCGGTTGTAAACTTCTGGGTAGCTCCGGTCATTATGAAAGTCTTTGTCCATGATATGAGCCCAGGTGCAGGTTTCCTCCAACCTCTCCCTCTTGGTGAGCTCCTCTGCCTTTATTCTTTGATGTTACTCTCCCCCACCCTCCCTAATTATAAAATACCTGCCTACATTAGATGATCAACGGATTTTCATTAAGTTAAAATCATTAAAGCATATGCATAGTAAGCTCCTCCTTCAAACATAAGCTCCTCCTCTAAGATATTATATTCCCTGAGGGAAGAGACTTCCTCAGTCCCTTCAAAGAACTCACACTCTAGAGGAGGTGCTCACATCCTCCTTTGACACGCCATCTCCAGCCCTGAGAACTGCCAAACACATAGTAGGCTGCTCATCTTGTTATTGATGTACGTGCCTTTAGGTTTCCAAAGCTTTTGCTTAGATTCTGTATAAATATTTATTATCAAGACCACTACTTTGTAAACCCTCAGTTCGTTTTAAGTTTGTTTGTTTTTTCTTTCTATCTCTGCCTATGTATACTTATATTAGACCAATAGTAAAACAACATTCCACATTTTTGTGAGTTATATACTGTTTGGCTTTGGATTTAGGCAGGTAGTAGTGTACAAGGTACTGGTACTAAATATGATTTTTGTTGCAATATTGATAGGTCTTTTCTTACTCTGAGAAGCATTTTTCTAAAAGTAATCATGAGGTTTGGTCATCTGATTAAAAAAGATAGTCTCTCATATATAGAAGAAATTTAAAGGAAAAAATGTAAAGTGCATTTAATCAAACAGGCTTTGGAATTGATGTATGTTATGATTTGGTAGTATTAACCAATGTCACCCCAATG